GATGGCCATGTTGCAATCCCTTCTCCATTCTCCTCTTGGGATCTTGGGCATGCATGCACACGTGCCCCACATGAGTTTAAGCCACAGGGTCCCCACAACAGTTAGCGTAAAGGCTATGTCGCTGGACTCCCATGTAGTCAACCGCGGTTCGAGTCCTGGACCCAGTGGCTTAAATTTATGGGCACCGCGTGAGACCCAGGAGTGCAAACTATGGCCAAGGACCAGCCTTCTCAGCACGACACGGCCCACCGAGGACATCTGGTGACTCTACATCTCATGTTTACTGCTGGTGTCCACATTAGGCCTCAGCGTTCTCGGAGGACTTACTCGTGGTGAGCAATAGAGAGGATTACCCACTGCAGTGTGACTATCAACTCAAAGATACTGGGTCCCTGGGAAATGTAGGAGGGAAATACTGAAGCCCAGGGCCTACCCTAGAGTTTCAGATTTATTTCATTTAGGTTTGGTCAAACCCATATACATTTTTCCTAAACTCCCACTAGCTCGCAGCCAGGATTGCAAACGACTCTGTGGACTCGGCATTTCAGAAGGAAAGTGCAAAACTATTTGAAACATGCATCCTTCAAAGCAAACACTAGGACAGGAGGAACTACTCTTAAGTAGAGTATTTTGGAACAAATTAGAAACAAATTATCATTACCTATTACAAGGAGAAGGTTTGCAGTCTCAGCTAGTCCAGGGGTAGGTATCCTCTGAGCACCTCTATTCTAAGTTCCTTGAAGATACTTTGACAAATAGTTTGTTACATTTAGTGACTGGTGAAGACTGCTGTTCCTGGGATTACCCCCAGGCCATGGTACATTCATCAGTAAGAGTTCGTCTTCCTGCCAACCACTTTTCTTAGAGCCCCTTTCAAGTCCCTGTTCCTCAGGCTGTAGATGAACGGGTTGAGCATGGGGGTCACCACCGTGTACAGCACGGTAGCCGCGGTGTCCTTCTCAGATGAGTGTGGGGATGCAGGGTTGAAATACACAGCAATGATGGTGCCATAGAACAGGGAGACCACTGCCAGGTGGGAGCCACACGTGGAGAAGGCCCTCCGCCTGCCCCCTGTGGCTGGGACTCACAGGACAGCACGGGCGATGTGCACGTAGGACACCAGGATGCAAACAAACGGGGTGATCATGACCAGGGCACCCTCCGTGAGAATCATCATCTCGTTGAGGTGTGTGTCCGAGCAGGAGAGTTGCAGGAGGGGGGCCACATCACAGAAGAAGTGGGGGATGGTGTTGTCCATGCAGAACGAGAGGCGAGCCATCAGCAGGGTGTGCAGTAGGACATTCAGGATGGAAAA